AGAGTCATTTTGTTAATACCTGAGGTGGCAAACATAATTCTCTATGGGCTCAGGTGTTACAACGGAAATATAAAAACGGATCGACTTTTTGCAGGGGTTCATCGATCATTGCGAAATAAAAATGACTCAAGTACAAGCTTCAACTAATTCAAATAAGTTAAAGAAGATTAAATACTGAAATATGGTAACAAAAAAAGGAGACAGTAATAGTAATTGATGAAGTCATAGAAGATAACAATAGTACTAAAGATAATATTCCACAAAGTACTGCAAGTTTTTATCTAGCGGCTCAGAACGTGTAAAAAAATAAAAATCATCGAATTTTGGCAATATAAGCCCTGATCAGATTTTTTTTGACGCAAGAAGGTAAATATGATGATGCGTGGAAGGAACTAATTTAAATAATGATACTGTATATATATCATTATTTGTATCTTGAACATATTACATAATGAGACAATGTGGGATAACTATTAAATAGTTGATTAATTAGACTATGAACAAATATTGTTGAAATAACTCCTAATAATTTAATTATAAAAAAAAATCTTGATAAAATTACACGTAATTTCTCATTTAGTAACATATCAATTTATCAAGTTTTGATTATGGAAAAGAATTATTACATCAAACATATCCTGGCAGGTCAATATTACTTACTTAAATCACTAACATACGATACAGCTCTCAAGTACTTTTATTAATCCAAAAGCAAATTATTTTATTAAAATTGGTGATGGTTTTGTAAATTCTAAACAATATAATAAGGCGAATATGGGAATTAATAAGAAAGTTTGGTTTATAAATACGTGTAAGTATTATTATAAAAATATTGATTATTATTTGCTAATTCAATTGTAAAAATATTTATTTATTTTAGCTTGAAATAAACCCGATTCATGTTTAAGAAAGTTATTAAAATATAATACATACTATTTATTGATGATTAAGTATTCAAATTTATTTTCTCCTTTATCATAATCTCAAATTAGTACTATTTGACAGTAGAAATATCAAATTAACAAAGCCTTGTGTCAAATATATAATAAACAATTTAGATTTTTTTTAATTAGAAATAAAGATTTTATACTTATATCTCATTACCTAACTACTAATATGTTAGATGAAAATTTTGGTACTATGATAACACGTAAAATATTCGCAAACTGTGCATAAAAAATCTTTTTACATTCACACCATAATTAACTTTTTTTTTTAAAAAAAAAAAAAATATTATGTACTATTAGCTGACAGATGGAATAACAAAATGTTTTTCTCGGGCGAAGCATTATTATATTCTTTATAATAAGGTATCGAAATCCACAGGTAAGAATTCAAATATAGTATATAATGATTTCATCAAAAAAAAAAAAAATAGTAATTAAATTATTCGTATATCCTATTTTGATGTTTTCGTTTGTGTTAATAATTTAGATTTTTTTGGACATTGTTCGTTATATATATATTACGCACAACAAGTTCTCTCCTTTTTTATATACCCTATAAAAAAAGAATGTCCGGAAATTGTAGCTAAAAACGTCCGGAAAATGTTTATTTGTCTGGAATATGTCCGGAATATTGCAATATTCCGGACGTTGGAAAATTTCCATTTTCCAGAAAATGTCCAGAAAATGTCTAGGAGGGTTCAGACCCAGCGTCCAGAAAGTGTCCGGAATATTGCAATTTTCTGGACGTTTCCCGGACACACGGACATTTTCCGGATGTTTTTAGCTACAATTTCCGGACATTTTTTTTTTACAGGGATACCAAAGTATTTTATCGTTTGCCCTTAAGTTCTAAGATATACTAGGAGTACATTTATTCATTTACTAATTATTATTCTTAAAGCATCTTGTTAATTCAATTTTCAGCTGACGGTAACTACCCGGGATCAATCCAGGGTAAATCCTGGATGTAGCCATCGCGCATCTAATGTACTATATAGTAGTTAAAATATGATTTATTGAAGATGTACCATAATTTATAATTAGAGCGAGTAAGCAATTTTTTATTTTTTTTTTCGACGAATTTTGTTAATAATATTAATGAATTAATTATTCTGTAGGTCATATATTTACAACAGTATCAGGACATTTCGCTGAAGCCATTTCGCAGAAGGGATGTTTCGCCGAAGGATGTTTTGCCGAAACCCCATTTCACCGAATTCCATTTCGCCGATGCCATTTCACCAAATGGACATTTCACCAAAGCCATTTCGCCAAATGAATATATGCAGAAACATTTTTATTACATTTGTTTATTTTATTGGTTTATATGATACTAAATACATGAAGAAATCTTTTCTTGAATTAGCTAATTTTTATTAAATTTGTCTTGTTGTTTATAATATATTAATCATTTTTCACTGAATAAATGTTTTCAGGAAAATAAAGTTATTTATTTATTGCTTAACAATTAATATCAGTTACTTGAATGTTAAAGTAAAAATATCATGGAAGAAAAGCCACTTAAAAATAAAAGGAATTTTTTCTTCAAACGTTTACTATTTAATTTTATTTTTATTCAAAAATAGGTGACGTGGCAAAAGAATGTAAAATAGAAACTAAAAAAATGAAACTATTAAAGTACTCAATCAAGAATCGAAATAATAAAAAAGTTTTTTATTTTATTGCGCGATTAATATAATTGCTATCATTTCTATCGGCGAAACGGGTTTCGGCGAAATGTACCGTAGCCGTTTACAACGGGAATAGTCCAATTCCAATTTTTCTTTAATGTCCACTGGTATTTCGATAATATTTAGTCTTATTGGAAGAACATTTGATACGCTACAGTATATTATAAAGTACCTTTTTTCTGAAAGACAAAGTATAAAATAAACAAGAACCTACAAATGTTATTGAATATCTACTAGATCTAAGCTTATATTATGATGTGATTTACAAAGTATCTTTTATATTCACAAATAAGTGCGTCATCGAAAAATAATATCTGTCCAGTTTAACATCCGTTCATAGTTGACTCTACGCGGAATTACATCACTAGTATCTGTTACATAGGTATTATCTGAGTGATACGGAAAGGTATTACCATCCCTACTCAAGTGATAAAACACCACTCGCTCCTTTTCGTCTTACCTGAGTTATCTATTAGCTATAGTAGTTAAGAATTAAAAAATAAATTAAGAAATAATTTTCTTAAAAAATATTTGATTATTATAACTATTTATATTTTTTCTACTCATTTGATAGTCCATCATTGCGCATTGGTGAGTAGCAATAATTGTAATTCACTTTTTACTTTATATAAATTATTACAAATAGGCACTTCATTACCAGCTCTTCCACCAAAATGAGCTTTTGTGTGTGACGAAAAATTCAGGTGCGTCCTTGCGGTATGTATTCTTAAAAAATAAAAAAAAAAGGATTATGAATCTCATCATGTATGTTTTATAATATTTTTATATATCTGATAAACTATTTAGCAATTGCGATACGTTAGTCAATGAAGGGTAAATGTAATATGTTTTACTTTTATTATAAATTTCGATTCTATAAAATTATAATTATAAATCATGAAGCTTATTTTTAGAGGAAAAGTTGTTATCGCTGATGTTAATGAAGACGCCGGCGAGAAAATTGCCAAAGAATTTAACGTAAAGTAAGAAAAAAAAAAGTAATATCATATCCATTTATCAGTAATTAATAATATCTTTAGAAATTATTGCAATTTTTCATAAACCGATGTAAGAAAGTGGAATTAACTAATAAGCTTATTGACAAATTGACGTCGGTAAGTTTATACTGATTTATAAGAAATCTTTATTTATTGTGAATAAAAAGTTTTTAATGAATTTAACTTTATCTACTTTATTTAAGATCGTAATTAACAATGCTGCTATTACAGATATTGAAAATGGAATGTTGAAATATTCACTAGAAGAACCAACACACTTTAGCAAACTTATAGAAATCAATCTTATGGGTGTAATTTATGGTAAAAAAAGATTCAATTATTTATTCCTGAAACAATTGGATAATTATAACGATTTCTTTTATTATAAGAACACTTGCATTCCAATATTTAAAACAAAATAATCCACAAGGTGGTATTATAATTAACACCGACGGCTTCAACCACTGCAATACATCCGGTGTTTACTTTTGGTATTACAGTAGTGCCACTAACGCTAAAGCTGGAGTGCGTAAAACGAAAATTTTAAATTTTATTTGAAAAATTTTTTTCTTTGCTTAAATAATTTCTTTTGTTTTAGGTCATTATTTTACGAAATCCATGTCACAAGTTAGCGAATTACACAATATTACTATTAATGCTGCATGTCCAAGTGTTACCAGTAAGTATAATTTTAAATTTTATATTTAAATTTATAGTTAACTTACAGTATTTAATAAGTCCATCTCTATCAGGAACTGAAATGACAGCTGGTGCAATTGGAGTTCCTGATCGTTGGTGGTCACCAATTGATGACGTTGTTGAAGCATATTTTAAATGTATTTATAATCAAAGTTAAATGGTATGTGAAGTATTCTTATTTTATAATATTTTACTTTTAAAAGACATACATTTTGATGCAATTTCTATCTTTTTAGGAACGAAATAGGAGGAAAGGAAATCCGAAAACCCCACGCCAGTAATTGAAGAAATGATACAAGGAAATTATATGCTCTACTTATCAACATTAGAAAAAAAAATCAAGCTAAAATGTAAAGAAAATATTTTTATTTTATTCCCTATTTTTTTAAAAAAAATAGATGAGAAAGCACGTCCAATTAATTATAAAATTTGCGGATGAATCAATTTTTTTTTTTAAGAGTTAGCGCACATTTTATTAAACGAATAGAGGAGGAGGATACATAATATCACTAGGCTATTACAAAATAAAATTCCCAAACAAGTCGGTCCGGCTATACTCTGCGAAAATAGTTATAAATCAAAGAGGATGAATCAATTTTAAAGTATGATTTTAACAAATTATATTTCAGAATCGATTTTTATTAGTATCATACCATGTTTTAAAATGTTGTGTACGGACACAAAAAAAAAGTTAGCATCAAACGTGATCAACGTTTGATCACGTGATAATTAATAATATGGATTATGGACTAATTAAAAACTTGAACTACGTTACTCAACAGAAATCCTTAATTATAAAGATTTAAAAAATTTTTCACATTATGGTAAGAGTTCCCGTTCTGATTTCTTCATTTATATTTATATTTAAATATTTTACTTACTGTTGTTTCATAGCTCAATATCGAGCTTCTTACGAACGACCACCTTTTACTACACCAGGCGGTCCTCTTACCTATGGACAAACCTCGCGGGTGGCTATACTTCTGGTACTCCCACACAACGCACAGCCTATCACTGGTCGAAATGAAATGATCTGCATGATGTTTATCGCTTATAAATAGCTTATACATTTGGCAATCTTAATTGCAATTAAGAAATCTCCATTAAATTTAATTTATAGATTTGAAATTGTAAAATTTATTGTAAATTTTATGATCTTAAATTTAATTCGCTAATTTATAACGTATAAATTCCAAATAAATTTTAATATCAATGTAAGTACTAAAATAAAGGCCCGCACCTTCTATCATGATATTCCTCCGTAGTAGGTCTTATTGACCCCTTCTCCTCAGACTGGTGCTATTTACCATATTCATTTTTTATGCATGATCGACACTGCGCAAATTTAAAATTGATACATACGTTTATAACAATACTTCCTAAATGTACTTTGTATTTAGTGATTTACGTACGAAGGATCATAGAATAGTTTATTTACATGATCTGCAAGCTGCATTTTGATTATTAAAGACACTCGCTCTTTCTCCTTTCTCTTCCCATTTCCCTTTTCCCTTGTTCTTTCCTTTTCCCTTTCCTTCATTCTTCCTCTTTACTTTTACGCATTCTTTTTCTTTCACTTTTACTTGCTCTTTCCCTTCACTTTTATACCAAGTTGATCAGATAAAATATAATTTACAAAAAATGATTGAATATCTTCCATTGTTACTTGATCAATGATATCGGGAACTTGAGCTTTATATGACATAGGTTCCATGTTCTTTTTCTAGGAATTAGGCGTCTATCATAAATTATACTAAAAAAAATTTTTTTTTCAACGCTAACTTCACTTAATTTTCTTTTCTCTCTTTTCTAATTTCTTTTTTTATATAGACTTTACCTTCATTTGGCCTTTGGGCACTTAGGAGTTTGGTAAGAGAGTTTCTTAAAATTAAAAGAATAAATTTATTAAAAAGATTGGTTTTTTTTAACGAAAAGTTATTTTTCTTTTTTTATATTTTTAACCTTTAGGGTTACACGTTCTTTTAGACTTAAACAGCTGATACTTTAGATCTTTGGAACACAAGGGACGAAAAAATTTTGGTAATTTTTTTTGTTTTTTTTTAATTTAACAAACAGTTTTAACAGTTCATTTTTTTTTCTTTGTGGTTTTGTTTTCAGGTATTCAAAATTATTTCGATTAATAATCATATTCCAAATATTGAATATGCATAATTTTGATTAATAAATTTGTATACTTATTTTTGTATAGATTAATGGTAATGATTTTTTTAGTTATTTACTATTAACGAGACAATGAAATGGCTACTAATGTTTTGTTTTCTTCCTTTTTTTTAGATGGCTTGCTTTTCAGGTCTTGACGCGTTGGAGAAAGGTAAGCTATTTTTTTTTTTTCATTATTTGTTTAACAAAATGAGCAAAACGATTACCAATATTTTTTTTGTTTATTCTTTAGACGGATGATTTTTTGGAGTATTCAGATCCGTGGAAAACTTGGTAAGAGGGGGAGAAGGTTACTTTTTTAATTCATTAGCAAATAAAATATTTGCTAATGTTTCATTATGTCTCTTTTATTTTTTTTTTATTCTGTAGGATCCAGGTCCACAGTTCCCTTCAGTTAGAAAATTTGAATTTCAAATTCCAGGCAAGTATTTGGAATGTTTAAAGTATATTAAACCTTTTTCTTTATAAAATAATGTTATCTAACATTTTCTTTATTCTGCAGGAACTTGATTCTAAAAGTAATCTGATGATTTCGTCTTTTATTCTCTTTAGACAGGTCTTCAGCTCTTTAGATACATGAATAGTGTTCTTTTAAGTAGGTTTTTTTATTTTTATTGATTTTTGATTTTTTTACTAGTTTCTTTTTTTTAGGTTTTTCAGACACGTGATAATTTGGATTTAATTAATATATTTCTTTTGATGAAACATTTTTGTAAGCTTGATTTTTTGTTGAATTTTCTAGAGTATATTCAGTGGATTTCTTATTTACCTTTATTTTGACGAAAGGACATTGAAATTGGAATGAATGTTAGTTTCATATGTGGTTCGTAATTTTCTTCCTTTTTTTTAAAAAAAAATTGGTTTTGTTTTTATTAACATAAATAATAATTATTTCACAATAGAATATTCTTAGCAAAAGGTTACAGCCATTTGTAAGTAAAAAAAATTGTTAAATATCTCGGCGTACAAGAAGATGAATTAGTCTCTTTTATTATTGATCACTTACGTAATAAAAAGCCAGCTGAAGACTTAACCAAAGAAATGATGATGGTATGTTGATTACTACTTGCACTGAATATCAAAGAGTAATTAACAAGCCAAATCATTGATTTTTATATCCTTTGATTTATATACAGACTTCAAGAAAAATATAAAATAAAGATACAGCTTTTGAAAGGTTTCTAGATGATTTGAAGTAATTCGAGGCAGTGGCATATAACACGTAGCCAGAGTTTTTTAATTATATATATTGTCTATCGGATTCTTTTAATTAAAATGTGATATTTAAAAATTAAAAATTAAATATAAAAATCAATGGCAAATTGTTAAAATAATTACTTAAGAGATCTATTTATTTATTTATTTATTTTATCCTATCATTTTAATGTTATCTTTGTTATCATTTCTTAATATCCCCTAGTAAATTATGTAAAGTTATAATGCGAAAAATCTGAAGAACAATAATTACCTTACATGCTTATCATCAATATCGTAATAAACTCAAATATTACATTAACTATACTAGTAATCCGGTCAAAATTCACTTTATATTTTAATTAAAATTCGTTGTTATCATGTTTAGATAATTTAGATAATTTTTCGATAAGTTACTTTGTCGAAATATTTCACATATATTTTAGCAGAAATAACATACTGAACCTTCATTATTACTTTTATTGGCGTGGTTATGCATTTTACCGATATCTTTCTCATATGAAATGCAAAGCACGTGCCAAGACGTTATATTCGAGAAATTTGGAACTGAATATAAAGTCGAAAAACGTTTATTATTCGTTATGTTTTTATTAAAAAATATGGTAGAGTATATACATGATCTGTAGTATTCGATAACCGCAGTAATTACAGTGATATTGCTAATTTCATAAAGCACTCGAGAGATTTCTATAAACTATAAGATGTTTCAAAGAAATAATTCATTGATTTTTTATTTTATCGCCATAAATCAAAATTTTCGGTAAGATCTTTTTCTCTGCTTCTGCTTTAATTTTCAACATTGGACCTTATTGATCTTATAGAAGCAGCAGATAAATGTCCACGTTTAATAAATTCTTTAACTTTATCGCGTCGATGACTCCATCTTAATAACGCGTGATATGATCTTGTAATTAGTTTATTTCCTATAACTAACCCACCAGATGCAAGCGCAAGAGTTGGAATAAGATCATACGTTATAACACTATTGTAATATAGCCACTGGATAATGAATTGAGGTACATCTTCAATGAAGATGCTTATGATACTACCCCAAAGCATTATTTTTTGTGATTTCTTAGTCAAAGGAGCTGAAAATATTTTAAGGCCAAATAAATCCGATGAGAAAGTATTTAATATTTGTATGTCAATGGCTGATAATAATGTGCAAATTGATGATAGTGTCAGAGACTTTGAAACCCATTTAGAGAATGATGGATTTGTTGCCATTTCAGATACAAAAATATTTATGGCTAATAAAATATTAATTACAATAGGTAAAATAAAGAATATTTTACTAAATAATAATAAATAAGAAAATTAGTAATCAGTCAAATTAACCTTCAAAATAATATAAATAAAATAATATTAAATGAAATTTCTTACGCTGGAATTATTAAATGTGGTGTATTTTTAACTTTCAGTAATATGAATACTAGATCTACGGCAATATCTTGTATTATAAAACAGGTCTCAAATATTGCAAAGTTTTTTCCTTTGGGATTTTTTATACGCGCCAAAATATATAATACTATTAAAACTACTAAACCTGCTATAAAAATTATAATTAATGGATAAAATTCTTTGAAATAATCTTTGGTCATTATAAAAGGTGCACTTTCATCAATTAATGATGTATATTCATTAAATGAAAGTGCAGTAAACCTTTTTTGTTTGATCAAGGTATTTAAATTTTCAAATATTGTTTGGGTATTTGGTTCAACTGTATTATCATCTTTAGCTTCATTTATGTTAAATGATAATAATATTTTCTTTGGAGAAGTAGGGTCATACATCCATCTGCCACTTGTTGCCAACCTCTGTTTGTTTACTGGAATTATCTTAGAAATTTCTTGAATCATATTCATGAAAAATATTGAATGATTTGCTTGGAGAAATTTCAAACTTCCTTCCTCATTTAGTCGAAGTATTCCTGTAATCGAATCTGAATGTTGTGCCGCTTTAAGTGGTCCTAAATATAGTAATAGAATATAAATTTTTCTATTCAATCATTAAAAA